ATTGGCAGGTCAATGCTAATAGCTGCCCTCAGGTTGGCCCAGAAAAGGGCATGCTTGCTCCTCTCCTTTGGCCACTCCAGGTAGGTTCGCTTTGCCATGAGAGCCTTCAGCTTGTGATACCTGGCAGGGATAATATATGCAGGGAGCGGCTCCAGTAAAATGAGGATTAAGCTGTTGGAATTCTCACTGAATAATTTGTGGTGGGCAAAGTACAGCTCGTAGTGACACCACTCGCTCTGCACAAAGTTGGGCGACAACACAAAGATCGACTTGTAGCTCTTCTCAATGCAGTCAATGATGTTCTCCACAATGCTCTTTCCGGGGATGAAGTTTCTCTCATGCTGGCACAGTTGTACACAGCCCTCCCCCTTCTCCAGGTTCGGGATCAGCTCATTCTTCACCCACAAAGAATCGCGCTCGCTGTAGGAAATGAACGCATGGAACTGCAGAACTGTCTCCTGCTCTTCAGGGTGGTTGTGCCAAGCTCTCCGCTTCGTCTGCGTCCACTGCCATGTCATCCGCACGTACCACGGCACATCCAGGTAGATGCACAGAAAGACCACCACAGCCACCAGCACCAGCGTCAGCAGCAGAGCCGTCACAAGCAGCAGCGCCGTGTTGCAAGCCAGTTCCGTCAGGTGGAAGTCCTTCAGCTGCGTTCCTCGCAAGCCTTCCGGGTACTCGCACTCATACGCCGACGGCCAGCCGAACAGCCTCCCCCCAGACTGCCTCTCCAGGTGGATAAAGGCTTGCAGTTCACAGGTACACTTGAACGGGTTGTGCCCGGCTTGTAGCTCCCTGACTCTTGGGCAGCTCTGGAAGAAGTCGGCAGATGGGGTGAGGATCATGTTCATCTCTGCATTCAGCAACTCCAGGGACGTAAAGCTACTGCACCCCGGCAGGTCAGCCAGCCTGTTCGATGCCAGGTTCAGCTCCTTCAAGGATTTCAGCTCAGCCATCCCCTTGGCGACGCTGCTGATCTGATTGTTTTGTAGGTCGAGTTTTTTGATGTTGACCGGCAAGCACTCAAACACCAATTCCGTCAACTGATTTGAGGACAAGTCCAGCTCTGTCAGCGACTCAGACCATTGGCACTGCACATCAGCTCCATCGTGGCGCAGCAAGTTGCTGCTCATGTCCAGATATTTCAGTGATTTCATACGGCTGGTCATGAAGCTTACCTTGGAAAGGCTCTCAAATTT